ACTCTAGATACCTGTTTCTTGTCATCAACTTGAACTTCATTCCTAAATTGTTGACCTTTATATTATATTTTCTAAAATGATACAGTATACAATTTTGAGAATTCATAACAAAATCAAGCATTAATCAACATTATTAACGCTTAATAATTCTTAATATTTGTTTTTAGGGCCTGTTTATATTTATTGAACTGAACTGAACTGGACTGATTAGAGCTGAACTGAATATTTTATGAGAGAGGGAAATTAAAAGCTGAAGTGAACTAAACTAATTAGAGCTAAATTGAACTGAACTGATTAGAGATGAACTAAACTGAACTGAAATTAAGTAAATGTGAATAGGCCCATAATCTTCTTACAAACAAACTTATAGTCACATCCACATTTTCATATCTAGGAATAGCACAAACAAAAAATATGGGTGGGATGTTCTCTTTTTCTTGTTCCAAACTCCCAATTATTAGAGTGAAATAATTTCAGCGGAAACTTGGTGGATATGTGATAACAAAAAATTATGGTGGTGGCAATCCTAAAAGAAATGAATAATCGATGTTGGTCGGCCATTGTGTTATATCCTTTGGGGGGTTGGTGAGATTTTTCTTAATTTCTTAAATTCAATTGTTATAGTTTGTAATAGTTTGTAACTTTGTTTAGATTGCACTCCTATAAGAATTTGGTGAGATTTGAGACACGACTCTTATGGTATTATTCGTGTAAAGTGTGACATTCAATCAATTGCTATCCAATTATAAACAAGTGGATTCTAAAATAATACTCCGTACCTACATTACTTGACAAGATTCGATTTTATATTAAATATTTTATAGTATCGAATGATGTGTGATTTTGTCATAATGCAAATAAATAAATAAAAAAAAAAAGCGCTTTATGCTAGTGTTAATAACATCAACATCCTCACGTGTTCACAGCTCAAGTATCCTGCTCCCGGGGCTCCAGATTTAGCAAAGCGAGTGCAAGAGCTTTTGACAACCTCAGGAATCAAGCGCGTGCACATAGACAAGAAACGAGGGCTTGATCATGATGCATGGGTGCCTTTGATGCTCATGTACCCTGAGGCTAACATTCCTGTTTGTCAGCTCTCTATCCAAATGAACAAGGATGCTACGTACCACTATAACATGGGCCGAGCATTGGCTCCGCTTAAGGAGGAAGGTGTTCTCATCATTGGTTCTGGAAGCGCCACACATAACCTGAGGGACCTCAAACTGGGTGCTAAAGATCAAGAAGTTGTTCCATGGGCCGGCGAGTTTGATAAATGGCTTGAAGATGCTTTGATCAGTGGAAGGTAACTATTATTCTAGGCTTCTTATATGCATTTTTCATAAATGTGTGTTTCATATTCTAATGCACTAATTTTTGGTATGTATTGAGGCTAAGATACCCTGCATCTCGAATTAATAGTTCATGTTGATTGATTGAATTAAAGTATGGTAGGAATGTTAATTGGCTCGAGTTTGAAAGGACATACTCGTAAACTTGGATTATAGCTTTTAACTTACATACCTGTTGGGATAATGTGACAATTATATTTGGACAAATTAAAGGGAGCATCTTTGCACATTCATGCCTTGTTTGGCAAATGTTTTGCACATTGAATTCGTGATTATGTTGTACAAATGTTGTACGTGTTGTTAAATTGGAAGTGTTACTAGTCCACTCTAACACTAGTGTATTTAGACCAATGTTGATGGGATTATTTTCTCTTCAAAAAACTATGCAGGCATGAAGATGTGAATAACTTCTTACAAAAAGCGCCTCATGCAAGAAAAGCACACCCATCACCTGATCATTTCTACCCATTGCATGTAGCCTTGGGTGCTGCCGGGGCAACCACGAAGGCGGAGCTCATACACCGCAGTTGGAGCCTTGGTACCTGATCTTACGCCTCCTACAAGTTTACCACCCCAAACTAAGTCTAATCCTTGATGTGCAACACCACTAAGCTAGCTAGTACTCAATTACTGTCACATTTTATTTTGACATGTACTATTATTAGTTTGCTCCTTGCTTCATGTATTTTGATTTACGTGTCTTTTTTTTTCTTTCTTTCTTTCAATGATCAGTACAGTTGTACAATAATTTGCATTGTAAGTTTGCTGATTAATTTCTATCATTGGAATTGAAATTTAGTGTAACAACACTTATGTGAGCTACATGCTTTGCAGTATAATAAAAATAAGTCTCACATTATAAATTTAATTACTATTCTAATACATAATTTTGATTATAAATATGTTGACTTATGTAATTTTGAATAATTATGGTCCTCAACAATTTTGTTGTTGACACTTTGATTAAGGTGAAATTCAATACATAGGATAATCATTTGATCTTTTGGTTTGGTCAAAATCAAGTCATTATACGAGAATAATTTCTAGTACATTTCAAATTCGGTAAAACATTGAGGCCTTACAATTAGGTACGGGGTACCTACCGTTTTACCTAAGAACCCTAAGGATATCCGCCTTTTCTTAAATTTGGAAGGCCTAGCTTAGACTATGGCAACATATCTGCATATCATATGGACTATAAAATGGCTCCTACAAATTCTCTTCCATATGCCTTTTACATTGTTTTACGCTCAGGGTCTCTTCACATTTACTGAACTGAATAGAACTGATTGGAGCTAAACTGAACTGAACTGAACTGATTGAAGCTGAACTGAGTTGAAATGAATATTTTTTAAAAGAGGAAAATTAGGAGCTGAACTGAACTGAACTGATTGGAGCTGAACTGAACTGAGCTGATTGGAGCTAAACTGAACTGAAATTAAGTAAATGTGAACAAGCCCTTACACAGAGTTACACTATTATTTTTATCCATTATTATCCGTATAACTCTTTTTCTGATATGAGATAAAAACTTAAAACGTTAGATAAAATCTTACTCTGAATTAACCTAATTATTCAGCATCTTTAGTTTCACCTCAAGTTAACTAAGTAGGCTTAGCATCAACACAAAATCTAACAAGTCGAATACCAGCATGTTATTTTATTACGTAGTAGATCAAATCAAGACCATCCAATCTCATAAGACTTTGGGGAAAACATTTTAAACCATATATATTCATCGCTTTCCTGCTATTAGTATCTATCCCATTTTACCACTAAAGTAAGCGAGAGTATACCCTGTCCTATTATTATTAGTTTGTATTTTTTGAATTAAAAACTTAAACAGCTTTGATAGAAAACTTTATTTATTATAAATAACTTTATGAAGGAAGATGATATTGAATTTAAAGCATAGGTGATTAAGAGTCTGTGCCATGCTTGGTACAGACAAAAAACTAACTATGCATTGCATCGAATTCGTTTCAATGTGTAATCAAAGGATAGATGAAGGTAGACAAAATTATTGTTAGCGATAATGGAACTAATGGAAGCAGTTAGCAATTATGTTAGCAATAATGGAAGTTTAATATTCTTTTTTGATTAGGGGAGTAGTTAAATTGTATACTTGTTAGCAATTTAGCAATGTCCATTCCACATGAAAACGCATTGAAATAAAATTGATAAATAATGCTTCCTCTTTCTCATAATATGGTCTTCATTTTCATTATAATTTTCAGCTTGAATTGTTAAAAAGTTCGACCAAATAATCACATTAATATTTCATAATTGATCTCACCTTTTATAGTTTTGTTATTGCGACATTAAAGATATGTTATAGGATCGTGCATACGTCTAATAGATGGTGCAAATGGAAATAAAATCTATATGACAAACATAATAACAATAATAATATACTACGTATTAAGATTAGCTTTGCTCTAGCTAAAGGACTAAGGGCCCTGTATACGGCTCCTCACTAATTTCTTGTAAATTAATTGATTTTGTAGGTTTTCTTTGTTTTTTTAAAGAGATTTTGTAGGTTTTTGTTATTTTGTTATTTTTGTCTGGAGAGAACGACGATGCCCTCAGACCTGCTGATGTGTTATCTTATTCTTGGGATCGTGGTCACGATGTCTGTGTAGATTTGACAGGATCTTCTCCTTTGACACAGTCAAGGCTATCTGACTTTATTCCTGAACGGGTTGTGGTTGATGCAGCTCATCGGAAGCGGGTTAAGTATGAGGCTCGTTGTCGGGCGATTGGATATGGATTCATTCCCTTCTCCTTTTAATTTCTTCACTTGGTGAATTAGAGAATGAGGCTGTTGCGTTGCTTAAGCGAGTTCAGAGGTTCTCGGCGACGCAAGACATTGGAGGACATGTTGCAGCTCATATTTTTACTAGGGTAGATTTTGCTATAGCTAGAGGAGTGGGGGCCAAGATTGTATCTCGACTTCCACCAATTTATTGTAGGTTGTATGACTTTTGTTTTTGAGATATCAATCAATCATCAATCAATCAATAACTATATACTAAAAGACACACCAGTAATGACACGTGTCATCTTCTGGTGTGTCCTCAATTTTTTATTTTTTTTAAAATTAATTATAGTATAAAATCTTAACAAAAACAATATCTTATACTTTAATATCTTATAAGTTAACAAAGATAATTACTTTAAATAAAAAAAGATTTAATATATCTTTCCAGGCCACACCAACATTTATGACTAGAGTAGAAAATATTAACATAATTTGCGACATATTTTAATCTACTTCAAGGAAGTATTCATATTTTTTCTCTAATAAAAATAATTTTTCATTTATTATTAGAATTCATATCAAAGTAGTGTATATTTATTAATTAATTTTTTGTAAAATAACCAATTATATATAAAAGTTGATATGTAGTATTATTTTTAATAAATTACCGTGCGTGGCACGGGACCTAAACTAGTAGTAGTATTAATAATAATAATAATAATAATAATAATAATAATAATAATAAATAAATAAATAAATAAATAAATAAGGGAATGTAATTATCAAAGTGTAATAATTGGAGGATGGATCAGAGGCAAAATCTTTGTTAGCAATGGAAGCAGGTTAGCAGCTCAATTTAACGCCAATTCCTATATGTGTATGGGGTGTGAACAGCTATTATAGGGGTTATTGTATGCGTTAGTGTTTTAGGGGTTACTCGATCAGTATTATTGGAGTTATTTCGGTATTGTTATGAGAGTTACATGGTCGGTGTTATAAGGATTACCCATTCAATATTACAATAAAAATTACTCAGTCGGTGTTATAGAGGTTATTTTGTTTGTTTATATAAGTGGCTACATGATGTGGTCAAGCACACAAAATACGTACAACTTTATTTAATTATTATTCTATATAAAGTTTTTTTTTTTTTTTTTTTTTTTTTTTTTTTTTTTGATTGGGGAGTAGTTTAGTTGTGTACTAGTCGTAATCAACCAGTTTGGCGATGTGGCCAATGTCCATATCACATGAAACGCAATGAAGCCCATAAAATTAGTAAAATAATATTATCTCATTTTTTTTTCTAATAGCAACACTTCTTTTCATATGATTGCCAATGCATCATTTTAAATATTTGTATCTTTAATTATCAATATTATAAAAATGTGATATTATAAAAGTTTTGATTGAAGCAAATTCAACAAGATTATTTTATATGATTAAATGTTTTTAAAATTACATACTGAGTAGTTTAAATCATCAAAGATTCAAAATTAGTCAAAACAGAGTTTTGTTACATCAAATATCAAAAAGTTTTACTTGTATTTTATATTTTCATATATTACAGATATAATTATATAAATATTGAAATTATACATTAAATTATTGCAACAACTCCATAAAAGAGAAGGTAGAAATGCATATACTCGGTAGCTTAACTAATACGAGTACATCCAAAGGGTAGCCACTCACCTCATATGTCATCAACAGTTCAACACTAATCATTTTCTTCTCCTCACTATTCACAACTACGTACTTGACTACTTGTATTATCCTATTTATTTGTGGAAATTTCAACCAAATCCAACATTCTTTAACCTTTCTAATTTTGGCAAAAAAAAAAAATGACGAAAATGAGTGCCGAAAAAATAAACCAGACGTTTTACATATCTCATGGACCACCGACGCTTCTTCTCTACGGTGCACGTTATCTCAAGCAATTTTTAAAGAGTTGGAGAGAAATAATCTTTGATCAAAATCCCAAATCTATTCTTATAATTTCTGGTCATTGGAAAACTAATGAACCTACTGTTAATTCTGTTGATCTTTGTGATACTATCTATGATTTTGGTGGATTTTCTGCTCCTCTTGATATGTATAAGGTAGTTTTCTCTTCTCTTACTTTCATTCAATTCTATTGTATTTCTTTGTTTGAAATATCGTTTTGAAGAGTGTATAACATAACTATTGTCTTTATCGTAAGGTAAATGTTAAACATAATCGTTACTTCAGTAGTAGATAAGGACTTACTTACAGTTTTTTTTAAGTTTCAAGATAGTTAAGTCACTAAGGCTATATTTAGTATTTTAGTTCACATTGTTTTAGTAACCTAAGCTATACTTAGGCCCGCATCTCTTCACCTTGTTCAAAATTTAAAATAATGTTTTTAGTAAATTTAAGTTTGGTAAAGATATTACAGTGTTAGTTTAGTAAAAATAAGTTAAGTTCAGCATTACCGTACAAACATTATTATGGAACAGAGTTACAGAGATGTAATAATAACGTGGGCATCTTTACTGGTTGACAGTTCAAGTATCCAACTCCTGGGGCTCCAGATTTGGCGGAGCGAGTACAAGAGCTTCTAACAACCTCCGGAATCAAGAATGTGAACATAGACAAGAAACGAGGACTCGATCACGGTGCATGGGTGCCTCTGAAGCTCATGTACCCTGAAGCTAACATTCCTATATGTCAGCTATCTATCCAAATGACCAAGAATGCGACGTACCACTACAACATGGGACGAGCATTGGCTCCTCTTAAGGAAGAAGGTGTTCTCATCATTGGTCCTGGAAGCGCCACACATAACTTGAGGGACTTCGAATGGGATGCTAAAGATCAAGAGGTTGCTCCATGGGCCGGCAAGTTTGATAAATGGCTAGAGGAAGCTTTGCTTAGTGGAAGGTAACTATTGTTTTAGGCTTCTATAACGCTAATGCCTTAAGTATATGTGGCTATTATTTTTGGACGGATTAAAAGGATCATTTTTCTTCAATTATATATACCTCGTTTTGAAAATGTTTTAATTTGCATGCATTTTGAATTCATATCTACTTTTCAAATAATGTGTTATATTTTATATCTTGGAATTTATGTTAACTCAATAATTACCAATGTTGATGTGATAACTTTTACTTCTTAAAAAATAACCTTGCAGTCATGAAGATGTGAATAACTACTTAGAAAAGGAGCCTAATGCAAGAAAGGCACATCCAATACCTGATCATTTCTACCCGTTGCATGTAGCCTTGGGTGCTGCCGGGGAAACTACGAAAGCGGAGCTCATACACCGCAGCTGGAGCCTCGGTACCCTTTCATTTGCTTCCTACAAGTTTACCACCCCGGCCACCCTCATCAATTAAGTTTAATTCTCAATGTGTACTACAATAGCTATATTATTACTCAATAAATTGTCACATTTCATTTTGAAATGTACCATAGTATGGTTCTTGTTTCATTTATGCATGTTACGTTGGTACAAAATTGTCTTTCTATTGTACAATAATTTGCAAGGTTAGATAATTGTTATCATCTGAGCATTAGCGTAAACAAAACTAATTCGAGCGACTGTGAAGTGTGAATTATGTATAAACTATGGAGTATAATATACCACGAACCAATAAAAAGGATTTTTTTTTTTTTCGTAATCCTTCTTAAATTTAATAAATTATTTGAATAAGAAAATCATATGTGCTACTCGTATCATAAGACTAGCCCAAGGGAGAGAGACTCACCCACAAAAGTGATTTTTTTTAAAAGAAAAATGCCGAGCTAGTGAATCCATTAATTAAGGGACAAAAAGTTTGAGAGTACATAGGGAGAAATCTCTTTAGCACAATAATTGATCTAAACTTGTTCAACTCCAAATGACACTAACTTAGCAAGAAAAGTAATCTTATTATGGTGGTATGATAACTTGATATGTCTTACACACATGTTACTCCTTTTGGTAATGTTTTAATTTGTGTAACTTTTCTTATTTGATAATAATATGCTCTGTATTAGAGCTCAATATTATTTGATTGATAAGTTGGTTTGTATTTAAATTCAACTTGGGCGATTTTATTGTAGATAATGTATCTCTCATAAAATATTAATTAATCAATAATTATTATGATCTTTTGGTTAGGTCAAATCACATTATTGTAATTTCAAGTAGATTTTATGTGAAATTTTGATATCAAATAATTAAGTACCTACCGATATTAACAAGTCTATTTTTATAGTCTACGTAACTAAGAACCCTAATAAGACACTATCCTTGAAGTTGGAGGTAGAGCTCATGATCAATATGTATATGGCTCCTACAAATTTGCTACTGAACCATCAGTGAGACATCATGCTAAATCATCTCCATCAAACAAGCTGGTCGAATCCTCCTCAAGCAGTCATCAAGCCTTACTTTAACCAATTACGCTTGACATCTACATACATACACCATCAATCCATCACCTTGAATTTGACTAGATAGAAATATGGAGTAAGCCTAAACTAAACTAGTATAGAATTATAGATCTATGTTTTTTTTTTTTTTTTTTTTTTTGACAAGAGCAAATGTATTTATAAAGCTAGAGTTTACAAAATACAGAATAAGAACTAAAACTTAAAGCATGGCTTTTAACACTTAAGCCTTTACAACAACTTTTGACATTAAAAATAAAAATAAACTTGAGTTTGCCGAACCTGTCGCAGATAATGGACTCCTTACAAACCAAGGAGCAAAAACATACTACACACCATAAAGAGAGCAACGGAGAGAATCGAAACTGTTTGACCATGGCTAGCTTTTCCTTACTTGGCGGGATCAACTCATCACCAAGTAAGGTCATCAAACGGGTCACTTGAACTAATGACCTTCCAATCAATAACTTTCCTTGTTGGCAAGAAAGCTTTGACAACGTCTAGGCTCGAGAAATCCCAAAACAAAGTTTGGGCCCCTGCTTCAGATAACAAATTTCAAGAGTAATGATCACAAGAATCATTACAACCGAGGGAAAAGAAACCAAACCAATACCACTCCAACAAAACACACACTTCACCTTAGCCAAGCCCAACTTCTTGTTCAAACCCCCAACAACCAAACCTGTAAACTCTCTTACCACTAAAACCACACCACAATTGTCAAAGTAATTAGGGCTCAAAGCTTAAGCCTCATTCATTGATTGATCTTTCAATATATAGAGTACATAGTTTCCTAAAGTCTAGCAAAATAATATTCTCGAGATAAATCTTGTGCCTATAAACTAGGAAACTAAATATAAGATAAATATCATGCACAAAGATATGATAATCTTCCTAACACCCCCCCCCCCAAGTTGGAGCATGTGGAGTGAAGATGCCCAACTTGCTAAGTAAAAGATCAAATTGGGATTTGCCGAGAGCTTGGTAAAGATATCGGCCAATTGTGCATGTGTAGGAACATAAGATGGATCAATCAAACCTTCTGTAATTACATCTCGGACGAAGTGACAATCTACTTTAATATGCTTCGTCCGTTCATGAAAAACCGGATTCTTTGCAATGTGCAAAGCAGATTGACTATCACAAAATAATTTGATAGCCTTAGGATGTTTCACTCCCAAGCTCAAAAGTAGCCGTTTCAACCACTTCAACTCCATTGTGGTAGCGCACATACAACGATATTCGGCTTCCGAAGAACTTGTAGAGACAGTCTTTTGCTTTTTGGTTTTCCAAGAGATAGGTGACTTACCAAGAAATATTAGACACCCTGTCAAAGATCTGTGTGTCAAGGGACACGCGGCCCAATCCGAATCACACCAACCCTGAAGGTTAATTCATTATCTGATCGTAGCAGAATACCCTGACCCGGAGTCCCTTTCAAGTACCTGACAACTCGTAGAGCTGCCTCCCAATGTTCAGTTCTTGGAGCATGCATGAACTGAGCCAAAATATGAACCGAATAGGCCAAATCAGGCCTAGTGACAGCAAGATATATCAACCGACCAACAAGTCTACGATACGATTCTGGATCATCAAGAAGAGGACCACTTGCTAGACCAAGTTTGTGATTCTGCTCCATAGGAAAGCCGGCTGGCTTTGATCCTAATAAACCTGCTTCTGAAATAATGTCAAGAGTATATTTTCTCTGACATAGGAACAAGCCCGAAGAACTACGAGCCACTTCAATTCCTAAAAAATATTTTAGAGTACCAAGATCTTTCATGTGAAAACAATCACTAAGATATGCTTTGAAAGCCCTTAACGCAGCAGAATTATTACCAGAAATAATGAGATTATACAAGCATATTAATTTGCACAACACCCTTTGTATAAGTAAACAATGAATAATCAGAATAAGATTGCCGAAAGCCATATGCCTTCAAAGACTTTGTTAGTTTTGCAAACCAACATCTAGGAGCCTGTTTTAGACCATACAAAGATTTTCGAAGGCGACATACCTTATTCGGATGGGATGATTCAAAACCAGGGGGAAGTTTCATATAGACTTCCTCTGCAAGGTCACCATGAAGAAAGGCATTGTGGACGTCCATTTGATGTAGCTCCCAATTTTTCGAAGTTGCAATAGCAAGAAAAGCTCTAACTGTTACCATTTTAGCAACCGGAGCAAATGTTTCAGTGTAATCAATACCCTCCTTTTGATGATTTCCGAAGACGACTAATCGGGATTTGAGTCGTTCAATACTTCCATCGGAGTTATATTTGATCTTATACACCCACTGACTACCTAGAGGTCGTTTGCCTAGAGGAAGATCTTCCATTGTCCATGTGCCATTTTTTTCTAGAGCTTGAATTTCATTTTGCATTGATTGTCTCCAACCTGCATCTTTCATGGCCTCCTTAAAAGACCGAGGCTCTTTGCCAGAAGTAATAGCTGCAATATAATTTCTGTAATGTGGAGAAAAACTGTCACAATTAGTATAATGAGCTATAGGATAAGGAGTACCTGAGGGATGCCGTGGAGACGGAGTGTTAGGGGAAAGAGATGAAGATGGACTGTTTGTAATAACTGTATGAGTAACAAATTCTCGGTGTTTCACGTTGGGAAATTTTTGCCTCATACCCCGGCCCATTTCTGCTTGTTGCTCGGTGTTCAAGGGCTGCTGGGGTGTGTCTTGTTGCTGCCATGGTATTGCAGAGGGCTCCGTGCCCCCCCTGCATTCATCAAGTTGTTGGCTGGTGCCTTGGGTACCTGCTGTGTGCTGCCGCACCCCAGCAGAAGGCTACGCGGCCTCCTCGCGGCCAGCACCATCCAGCCGCGGGCTACCTGAGGACTGGTCTGCCTGCTGTCCGTGGGTACCTGCTGCTGGGTGCTGTGATGAGGGCTACTCATGTACTTGTTGCGGAGTTGCTTGAGGCACATTACCCCAACCTTCACCAACCTCGTGAGACCCCATACTTACATCATCAACGTCATACGACACATCCATATGTATTGGAACAATTTTTTCCGGAATGATATTTGTGGAAATTGGATCAAGGAAAGGAAAAACATCTTCAAAGAATTTAACATCACGAGACACGAAAAATTCTTTTGAATCAAGATCAAACAATCTCCAACCTTTCTTCCCAAACGGATAGCCAACAAAAACACATTTACGACTCCGACTTGCAAATTTATCACCCTTAGCTTTTTTACTGTGAGCAAAGCAAAGACACCCAAAAGTACATATTGTAGAATAGGATGGGTTTGTGCCAAATAAAATTTCATAGGGAGATTTATTGTGCAAGTAAGGAGAAGGAGTTCGGTTTATTAAATGTGCGGCCGCAAGAACACTCTCACCCCAAAAATATATATGCAAATTAGCTTGAAATCTCAAAGCTCTACCTACATTTAAAATATGTTTGTGTTTTCTCTCAACCCGACCATTTTGTTGCGGAGTGCCAACACAAGATGTTTGAAATAAGATGTCAGTTGCATTAAAGAAATCACGCAAACAATTAAATTCGGTACCATTATCACTTTGTACGATTTTAATTGTTTGTGAAAATTGTTTATCCACCATTGCCACAAAAGACATAAACATACGAAAAACCTCTGTTTTATCAACTAGCAAATAAATCCAAACAGCACGAGAGAAATCATCAACTATAGTAAAAAAAATAACGAGCGCCACAAGACGATGCATGTTTATAAGAACCCCATAAATCACAATGAATTTTTTCAAATATTCTAGAGGCTTTATTCTCACTTAAAGAAAAACTAGATCTAGGGTGTTTAGCACGAAAACAAACTTCACATGCTTTATTTAAACTACCCTTACAATTATGAACGGGAGGGAGAAGTTTCACAACTTTTTCCGACGGATGACCCATACGCTTGTGCCATAATTCTAACAATGTTGAAGATTCAGAAACAGCCACATGTTGCACCGAAGCTCGTCCTTTGAAATACAACAGTCCATCCCTCTAAACACTCGTTCCAATCAGCTCCCTCGACTGATCCTGTAAAGCACACATATTGGAGTTAAATTGGACAGTACAATGAGCATCATCAATTAATTGTGATACAGAAATTAGATTGCAACGTAAATCGAGAACAAATAGGACATGCTTAAGAACAATTTTAGATGATAGACGAACTGAGCCTTCCTTCGTGGCATTCACTGTTTTGCCATTCGGAAGACCAACCGGACAATGTGAGATGTGACTCGTATCAAAAAGCCATATGTCATCACAAGTTACATGCCTAGAACCCCCTGTGTCAACGATCCACAAGGTATTATCAAACTCACCGTTCAAACGTTCATCGGGAATTTGAGTGTTACCAATAAAACCAGCAATTGCCCTCCACTGTTCTGCCGTGAAAGTCTGAGAGGAACCCCCTATTGAATCTGCCTTATTAGCTGCTGTAGCATTCGCACGAGGAGGAGCCCGACCTTTAGAGCTGGTCTGTTGCGGTTTGCCACGTTTTGAAGGGTTCGGCCACCAATCTGGGTACCCTTTAAGTTCAAAACAATCAGAAATTACATAGCCATGTTTCTTGCAATGGTTACAGTGAAGACCGGACTTATCTGCCTTCTCATCAGAGGCTGTTGTCCTCTGTTTTCCGGTGCTGGTTCGAAAAGCAAACCCCACTGCCTCGGATGCCTGCTCATCAGGGGTTTGCTTGGCGATCCGTACACGTTCGTCTTGCACAACCAACTGGTACGCCCGATCAAGAGTCGACAAAGGGTCTTGAGATAATATATTAGTACGAGTCTGAGTATAATAATCGGTACATAGGCCCATCAAGAACTCATGGAGTCGAGTATTTTCACGACGTTTTTCATGCTCCACACCTGCTGTACACGTCTGGCAGCAAGCACAAGTAATGAGCGGCTCATGGTTGTTTAATTCCTCCCATAGAGCCGTCAATTTTCCAAAATAGGAGGCCACTGACATAGTCTTCGTTTGCTCACACTTTGCAATTGACACCTTCAATTGCTGAATTCGAGGACCATTGACGGTGGCAAAGTGCATTTTGAGAGTGTCCCATAAGCGCTTCGCATCTTTGTATTTTGACAGAGTACCCTTGACCTCGGGGTCAATTGTGTTCATAAGCCACGAAATCAACATGGCATGAATGGTGTTCCAATCTGTTTGAGTACACAGAGAGGAAGGCGAGGAGATCGTTCCATCTAGGAAAACAAATTTACGTCGTGCCTCTAACACGGTTTGAATATCCCCTGCCCATTCATCGTAGTTTTCACCACGAAGCCGAGTCGGGGTTATGAAATCACCATGTCTGTCATGAGGACCTAGGTAGTATGGAGAGGTGATGTCAATTCGTGTTGGTGGTGGCGGCGGCGGAACATCATCGACAGCCATGGTGATTTAAGATTTTTGTGTTTTTTTTTTTTAGAAATCCTGAGCGACTGATACCATGTCAAAGTAATTAGGGCTCAAAGCTTAAGCCTCATTCATTGATTGATCTTTCAATATATAGAGTACATAGTTTCCTAAAGTCTAGCAAAATAATATTCTCAAGATAAATCTTGTGCCTATAAACTAGGAAACTAAATATACGATAAATATCACAAAGATATGATAATATTCCTAACAACGATCCTTAACAAAGGATCCTAACTCCCTCTGCACACAACCATCCAAAATACTATAGCCAAAACAACTTAATAGCCCAGAAAACGACCAAAGGGGGCTAAAAAAATTACCATAAAACAAACTAAAAAAAGTAAACTCTGATAAATAACAAGAAAAAACATACTTAGGAAAGAGAACGAACCGGAGGAGAGCACCGTTCAAACCAAGAAACCTGAGACCACGAACACAAGGAACCTCGAAATCCTAGCCTTAACTTCACCGTTTCCATCACGAACCTTCTCTTGACGGCGACGTTAGGCCTAGCCCTCCAGCGCAAGGACCCACGAAACCCTAACCCTAACTTTACCGTTTCCGTCACGGTCAAAATTACCGATGACCAATGACGGCGGCGTTAGGCCTAGTCCTTAGGCCTTGTTTCACCGACAGGAGACCCTTTGAACTACCACTAACCTTTCACGCAAAGGTAGGAGACGGCGTCGGACATGATTTGAAAACTCTCTCAAAACCTTCGATAATTAGGCTCACACAAACACCTCACAAAGGGATTAAAATCCTCAATAAAGAAGGTGAATCTTGGATTTTCGAGTGTGAGAAAGATGAAAAGATAAGGGAAACTTGAAAAGGAAGGAGAAGAGAGGTAGAAAAATAGGAAAGAAGATGAAGGGGCCGCTGGAGTACGGCCGCGGCGCCGGAACTCCGACGAGCTCCTAGGGTTTTAAAAGGGGCGGGGGACTTGAAATGGGAGGAGAGAGAACAGAGGATTTAAGAGAGGAGAGAGAAGCGGGCAATCTATAATGGTAACGAAAAATAAATATTTTGATCTATGTTTAGACCAGACAATAGAATATAGTTTGTGATTGTCACATTATTTTTTTGTATAAAAATAATAATCAATAATGATATAATTGATAACATTTTTTATTTGAAAAGGAATATATATATATATATATATATTATCATTTTTGAATGGAGAATTAAGACTTACACTCCGTATTAAACAACTTTGATTATAAACTTATTTATTAATAAATAACTTTATGAAGGAAAAGGGTATTAAATTGGTTTCATCATGTAATTGGAGGATTGTGGGACTGTGGGAGTTGTTAAATCATCCACTTAGCAATTTGTTAATGTCATTTCAAATGAAGCACATTGATACCCATAAAATTGATAAAAATAATCTATATACTATATATTATATTTATTTATAGATCAATCTTTATTAAAAATAAAATAACTTTCATAACTATTTTACTTTGCTAGTTTGGTGTAATTGTAACCATACAATGTACAAGCAATAATACTACGTTATAGTGCGAAATCTCAACTATCCACTTCTAAAAGGTCAGCTCATAGTGTCATAGCCTCATACATATGTTACCATCTTCTTCTTCATATTATTTCTCATGATTTTCAAACAAATCCAAAATCCTCCAACCTTTCTATTTTCGACAAAAAAAAAATGACAACAATAAGCGCCGATAAAATAAACCCGACGTTTTACATATCTCATGGACCACCGACGCTTCCTATTGAGGATTCACTACCTCTAAAACACCTTTTAAAGAGTTGGAGACAGAAAATCTTTGATCAAAAACCCAAATCTATCCTTATCATTTCTGGTCATTGGGAAACTAATGAACCTACTGTTAATTCTGTTGATGTTTGTGATACCATCTATGATTTTGATGGCTTTCCTGCTCCTCTTGATCTCTATAAGGTACTTTCTCGATCTCCTCAATCGAACTTGCTTCTATAATTTTGTTTGGACGACTATCTTTGTACTTTCCATATATAAATCTATATAAGGTACTTTCGAATTTTATGGGATCGTATTGAATCGTTATCAAAAGGAAAATGTTAAATGCAACTCGATCGATTAGAGAGCGAGCAAAATTTAATGGTTTTAGGCTGAGACTTGTAATTTTTAGAAGTTTCAGAGTAGTAAGCACTACATAGTTCATTAGACGTACATATATTTCAAAATTTCAGTTCCTTTGCCCAGCTCCGTTATAATTCAGGTAAAGTAAGTTCACTTCAGTTCAGTTCACTTCAATTCAATTAATTTCATCAATTCATCAACTCCATTCATTTCATTTCAATTAGTTCATTTCTATAGACTATAGTTGTTATTATCTTAATTAACAAGTAATTAAGACTAATTTAATTACCGGCTATTACAATATATATATGTACAAAATATAAAGTAGCTTGAAATAATCTTGCATGATTTATATAAAAAAAAAACTAATAAAACCCAGTTTTGTGAGAAACTACCTAAAAAAAAATTGTAATAAACTATATAAAAAAAATGTTATAACAAAAACTACCTAAGAAAAGGTAAAATGTTGTAATATATATACCACCTATATCGGATTGATTTCCACTGTTGACGACCCGACCTCAAAATACTCTCGAAACTACTCCAAAACTGACACAACTTGCTTGAAATCGCCTCCACCACATCTAAACCACCTTCCAACTTCAAAACCACCACCTTTCAACCCCAAACCATCATCCCGACGCAAATCTACCCTCACCAACTCGGAATATCATCCAATAACCACACAACCTTGAAAACCAATCCTCACAAAGGTTTCAGTGGTGTTTTAAGGTGGATCAACGTTGTAAATTTAAGTCAACGGTGGAAGTTCGGTCAATGGTAATATCTTACAACATTTTACCTTCTACTTCCTCCATTCTTTATTACTTGACCCGCTTTGACTTTTACACTATTCATCACCCCTCTTTTGACCGTCTTTTGTGAATAATATGTAAGGAAAAATATATTCATGTATGATTTTTTGGATTCGTCTCAATAAGTACTATCATTTTATATAACTTTTATAATTTTTAGTTATGGAGAATTTAAGTTATTGATCGTTAAAGTTTTGTATTGCAAGCGTGATAAAAGAAACAGGTCAAGTAAAAAAGAACAGAGGAAGTATTAGGTAGTTTTTTACAACATTTTTTTTTCAATTAGGTAGTTTCTCACAAAATTTGGATTTTATTACATAGTTTCTCTTAAATAGTCCTTAGAATATTAAAAAAAAAATGTTTATATACCGTTTAGTTCATAGTTACCCCTTAAATAATAAAATGGACTGCTGGAATGTTTTTCTTCTTTTCTTGCTCCAATAATATAATTACAACTTACAAGTACCCTTCTCCGAAGGTTATTGTTTTGGTATGTTTAGGACATACTCATACAAGGGTTTGGTGAGATTTGTTGAGACTTGAGACTTTGAGGTGTATTCATCACCCAATTGCTATCAAGATATAAACAATTGGATCGGATTTTATATAATAAATATGTAACTAGCTTAGCTACATTAGTTTGTATTACAATTATGTATAATAATAAGAAGCTAAAAGTATAAATACTACACAATTTATAATATATAATTATGTACATTAGTTTGTATTACAATTATATATAATAATAAGAAGCTAAAAGCATAAATACTACACAATTTATAATATATAATGTCGTGTAAATTGGAATTTTATCCTTACGCAAATAATGAAAGGCATTATATATGCTAGTGTTAGAGCACTCACATAAGTGAGCATTTTTTTGCTCATGAGCAAAATTGATGAGCAAAAATGGTAGAAATGTTACTACATTAATGAGCAAAATAAAATATGTTCATGAGCAATTCAATTATTCTTTGATCACTAGTGGGATAAAAATTTCCTCACCAAAAATGTTCATGAGCAAATTTGATTGGGAAGAGTGAGAAAGTGGCTAGAGAGAGAATGAACTTTTTTTTTTTGCTCACTAATGTGAGTGCTCTTAGTAATATCAACTTCTTACGAGTTCACAGCTCAAGTATCCTACTCCTGGGGCTCCAGATTTGGCAAGGCGTGTGCAAGAGCTTCTAACAAGCTCTGGATTCAATCGCGTGCACATAGACAAGGAACGAGGGCTTGATCATGGTGCATGGGTGCCTCTGATGCTCATGTACCCTGAAGCTAACATCCCTATTTCACAGCTCTCTATTCAAATGAACAAGGATGCTACATACCACTATAACATGGGGCGAGCATTGACTCCTCTTAAGGAGGAAGGTGTTCTCATCATTGGTTCCGGAACCACCGTACATAACTTGAGTGATCTTAGATGGGATGCTAAAGATCAAGAAGTCATTCCATGGGCCGGCGAATTTGATAAATGGCTTGAAGAAGCTTTGCTCAATGGAAGGTAAATTTTGCTCAAAATATTGGTTCATTAACTAAGATATGTGATGGTTTGACTAGCTAAATTGAGTTATAACTTCTTGCACTAATCCGATCCAAACTTGAATTGATCTCTACTTAATAGTTCATCTTGGTTGATTAAGATGGTGTAGAAATATGGTCTATTTAATATGGATATTCAATATATGACAATTGTTTCCTAATAGATTAGAATTTTTTTTTTTGTTTTTTCCACATTTAATTCTTACGTATCTAGTTTGGCACATTGAATTCATAACTATGCTTTTGAAATATAGCTAGTGTGTTTATCATGGAGGTTTCATTAAAGTTTCCATGTTCTAAATTGGATATGAAAATAATTATCCAGGCATGAAGACGTGAATAACTACTTACAAAAGGCGCCCCATGCAAGGACGGCACATCCAACGCCTGATCATTTTTACCCACTGCATGTAGCCATGGGTGCTGCCGGAGGAAATACAAAAGCGGAGCTCATACACCGCACCTGGAGCCTCGGTACCCTATCGTATGCCTCCTACAAGTTCACCACCCCCAACTAAGACTAATTCTTAATGTGTAGTACGGAATACTCAATTTTACAGTCAGTTTTTATCTATCTGTTACAAATTTGACTTAAAAGTGTACAAACAGCACAATAATATGTAAGAGTCTGTTCTCATCGACTGAACTCAGCTAAACTGTATTGAATTGAACTGAAATGAATATTTTATAAGAGAAGAAAATTAGAAGCTGAATAGAACTGAACTGAAAATAAATGTATGAGAACAGGCCCTTAGGTTAGGGGCATATTCTATCATTGAAGCTTAGTAAACAAATCAAGCTTATGTAAGCAACATGCTGTAAAATACAATTTGGGCAACTGTAAAGTGTATGGATTATTGTTGCAAGTATTAATAAATACGTAGTAATTACTTCATTTTTTTATTGTTTCATTTGAATTAACTTGTTACCTGCTGGCTGCTGCTACTATCTATTTACTATTGATAGTGATTTTAACTAAAGAAAAATTATATATACACTCCAATCTTTTTAAATTTATCCTGAACGCTAAATATTACAATCCATATAAATAAAAATGATCATTTTGTGAACTTTTAATCACAAGTTTTCAAACCATTAATCCTCTATTATGTACTATCATTTAATAGGCTTCAAACATTACTTTCCATTAGAAATTTAATTAATGTTTCCTCGATTTGCTTAATGATAAACACATTAAAAAATGACCAAAGATTTTGCAATCGATAATAAATAAACAATTCCTAAATAATTGGCACAGTCAAACATGACACATATTCATTAGTTTGACCATAAAATCATATGATTAAATATTAGTAAAAAAAAATATAATAAATAGTTGATATCATAAAACTGTATATTAATACCTATTTAACAATATATTTCACGATAAAACTTATTTTTTATATGTTAGTGACAAATAATGGTCAAAGTAAGGATATAAACCCCTACCTTTTTAAAAAGTATGAGATAACTCTTATTAATAGTACTTGAATAATTATACCCTCTAAAATGTTTACTAATGGCATGTTCATATTTACTGAACTGAACTAAACTGATCAGTTGAAATGAATATTTTATGTGAGAAGGAAATTAGAAGTTGAACTGAACTGAATTGATCGGAGCTGAACTAAACTGAATGATTATTGGAGCTGAATTGAACTGAACTTAAATTAAGTAAATTTGAACAGTCCCTTTAATTTCCCCATTAATGTTGATTATATTAACTCTTTTTTAAAACTCTTAAAAATAGTATGCGTATGTTTATATCTCTACAATGTTAATTTACCTAAGTGTCTCCATTAATGTTAATTAGCTCTTTTTAAAAAAAACTTTTGAGAACAGTGTGCGGATATTTATACCCCTAATATTTTTTACATAGTTTTCCTCTTTAATAAAGGTCAAATAGAAAGAGTTTCCTAAATATTATTAGTTATGACGCGCTCGCGTTAGTTACCCTAATAATGAAAAAAGTCACACACATCAATCATTTATGAACGGAAAGAGTAAAATAATTTATAGTCAATCTGAAATTGTAAAAAAAAACAAGAGGGATGCTAAACGCAACCTAGGTTTACTTGACGCAACCCTTTTTTCCTTATTTTTTAACCCTAATAGAAATATAAAAGTTATCTTTTCTCCTCACCCTTTTTCCCTTATTTTTTAACCCTAATAGAAATATTAAAGTTATCTTTTTCTCCTCCCCTTCAAAAAAAAAAAAAAGTTATCTTTTCTCCTTCTTTGTCACAAGAGTACCAAAATCAATTTATAATACTCATTGGGATTACAATGGATGATGAATTTGATCTGGAAGATCTTGAAATTAATGTAAGTTTATCGATTTGTAATAATTTTTTTTCGAGTACACTTTATTCTATACGAGTGTAACAATTGCTCTATTTCGGTTACACTAACTCTGTTTTCAATTACACAACTGTACAAATTAAACTTTCACAACATGTTTATGTAGACCAATTAAGAAAGCTCTTGGATCACCTAATAACAAATTTGTGTTACAAGTTTGACTTCAGTTGTACGATTGGTTTGTGAGAGTAGATTATGGTGAATGATAATCTAAATAAAGCAGCAATTATTGTGAATGATAATCAAAACCGTTGACTGAATTTCGTATAAATTTAACAATATATAATACTTTATTTCGCACATGTTGAACAAAGTCATGTTGTCTGTTTCATATGCATTACCAAAATATCAAGATTATGGACGAATAACAACTATGATGAGTACTCTTTTAACACAAGTTGCATGATTATCTGTTGTGACACAAGTTGCATGATTATCTGTTGTGGCATGTTATATGATTTTAATGAAATGATATGCTTTAATTTTGAGATCATACATGAATAAAAGGCTTTTTAATTTTTATCATATATATAACACTATTTTTTAAATTGTTTAACTTTGATAGGATGATGCATACATTGAAAAAGTATGTGAGAATGCAATTGACTATAGTGAATATTTTACAACCACAACTATATTTTCTACTAGAAAAGCCATGCTTGATTGGGTCATAGAAGTTGGTAAAATGCACAATATGGTCATTATCATTGCTCGTTCACAAGTTAAGGTCATAAAAGCTACCTTAACTTGTGAGAGAGCCGGAAAATATAGACTCAGCAAGTCTGGAGTTCCCGTGGATGTGGAAAAATTTACTGGAACAAAAAAAATGATGTGTCCTTTCAGACTTCAAGCAAAAGAGCATGTTGGTGGTGGATGGAGTGTGTTTGTCCGCCATGGTATACACAATCATAAACTTCCAGACTATAATGAGGGTCGTGCAATTATCAGCAAGTTGAGTAAAGATGACCTATCATTAGTACAGGAGCTTTCAAAGTCTCATGTGCAACCACATCAAATTATGAATATTTTGAAAACAGTGAATAAAAAGACTCTGATTACAGTGAAGCACATATACAATGCCCGTCAAAAGTTTAAAACAGAGTCACTGGGAGGTCGATCTGTGATGCAACAACTTATGAAACTAATTGTTGATAATGGCTACATTCAGTGGCATCGGGAAGAAGTAGGCACAGATGTGGTAAGGGATATATTTTTTGCACATCCTAATGTAATTAGTATGCTGCGTTTATTTCACTACGTTTTGATAGTTGATTGCACCTACAAGACAAATAAATATAAAATGCCTTTTTTAGAAATAGTTGGCATGGTTCCCACTGGTAAAAATTTTGCTATTGGATTTGCTTGGTTAAAAGATGAACAAAGAGGGAGTTATGAATGGGCTCTTAGTTATGTGTGTTAGGATTAGTGTGGAGATAGATAAATACATGGAGACATAAGGAGATTGCATAGAAGCTGCCTTATTGTTAAGGTTCGACCAAACTTGTGAAAAGTTCGGTCGAACCCGGTTTTAAGTCAGTAGGTGCACCAGTTTTCATTTCTAGAGGAGGAGTGACCAAACCCAAGGAGGTTCGACTGAACCACCCTAGGTTCGACCGAACTCTGGGTAGGTTCGGCCGAACCTCCCTGCTCCCTATTTCGTCGCTTCATTTTCGGTTTGTGCGATTTGCTTTAATCTTAGCCGTTGGATTGTATTTTCTACCTAAACTATATATATACCTTTTCTAAGCCTCTTTGTTGAGTATTTTCACAAACATTTAAACACATAGAGAGGTTTTGAGAGGGTTTGTGAGGAGCATTTGAATTCTATACAATTCATGCTTGTAATTCTTGAGTTCATTCATCATCAATATTACTCCATAGTGCAAGGGTGGGTTTTTTTTCTCCCGGTTCTCGGGTTTTCCCACGGTAACATTGTCTTCTTTTTTTACTTGCTTTAATTCCTTCAAAGTTGTTCTTGATTGTTATGCTTGTTTGTTCATTGCTATTGTGGGTTGATTGCAAGTTAGTTGAACACTTTAATCCTTACAATGTGAAACAATTATTTGATCCAGATAAATAATTACTAACTGATAGGGAATTGGCTCTTATGAATGCTATTGCCATTGTATTTCCCAATTCTTCCCATCTTTTATGTACAAGGCATATTCAGAAAAATGTGGAGAATTACTTGCTTTTTTTTTTTTTTAATTTATGAAAATACATGAAACTAGTAGATTAATATTTTTTTAATCATTTTTCTCTTACTATATAGGGGGGAAAGTGGGCATGCATCATTAAAATGTTGGTTGAAGACCTCGACTGGGAGTTTGGATACCATATGGCCTAAAATTCACTCATTTTTAGAGTCACAAACACACGAAATCAAGGCAACTTTTCAAAGGTCGCAAAACAGAGATCCCCATGTCACAGTCTTACGACTCTTTATGTTTTTAAGAGGCAAAATTACTCATAAAGCTTTACGCTTACTTGATAATGAGTATAAACGGATGGAATCTGTTGGTGTGGATGATACTATTTGTGGGTGTTACTTGAGAAAGACACATGGTCTTCCATGCGCGCATGAGATGATGACAATGGAACGTGAAGGTAGGAGCATTCAACTTTCTGATATTCACCCTTTTTGGAAATTGCTTAATATAGATGATGCTTCTTCACAAGATATGCCATCAGATAAGTTTGAATTTGAGTGTCAACATGATATTGATAAAGTATTACATCAATATTTTATGGAGATTTTGAATCAACCTGAAGATAGGAAGAAAAAATTGGCAGCTGAATTAGAAAAAATGATTTATCCTGAATTCACAAGTTTGAAAGAGCCAGAGTGTAATGAAAATAACAGAGGTCGTCCATCAACAAAGAATAATTCTACAAAAAGAGACCCATGCAATTGGGAGTACACTGAACAAATATTCTAAAACGTGGACAATCTTCTTCATCTGCCTCTGTTCCTGGACGTGGTATGTCTTCTTCTTGTGGTCGTGGAAAATCTCCTACACACGTCTCTTCTAATAAAAGTGTTAAATCCTCAAAGAATTTCCAAGGTCTGTCTATGAATGTTGCTCCATTTGCTGATGATCTACCTTTGCCCATTCTGCCTTTCGTTCAGTATATCCATAATGTTATTGGAGATGGAAATTGTGGGTATAGAGCCATTGCTCGATGGATGAACATCGATGGCCAACCGTGAGGCATGAACTAGCTATTGAAATTGAAAATAGATATACCTTGTATTTTGATGTATTAGGGGAACGTGACTGTAAGAGGACTTTGCATTCCGTTCAACATTACGTGGGACCAGCACCAAAATTTCACTGGATGAGTATGATTGATATGGGTTTCATCATTGCCACTAAATATAATGTTGTAGTTGTTAGTTGGGCAGTGGACCAATCTTTGACCTTTCTACCCTTAATTGCTGAAGACGGAAAAAGCTCTCCAGAACGGATTATAACACTTGGGTTTTTAAAGTCATCTGAGCACTTTATAATGGTATGTGTTGGTTGTATATTTAAAACAATTAAAAGCAAGACTAGCTTTGATAAAATCCTCATAAAACAAGTAGATTGGGGCAACTCCTGTATGCTTACTGTTAACAGCTCGAACAACATTTAGCGCGTCACATTCTAGCTCCACGTCATTGTACCCCAGTCTGGTGGCGATATTCACCCCATATGCTGCAGCTCCTGCTTCTGCCAGATCAGAAGACCAGCACACATCCATCTTCTTGACAACAGCCGCAATCAGTTCACCTGCTGCTCCTCTTATAACCACCCCAAAGCTTACACCATTACCAGCCATGACATGTGCATCAACATTCACCTGCTGCTTTTGCGACGCAAACGACTCTTATTTGCGTCGCGCCTAGGAGCGACAAGTCATTTGCGTCGCGAGTAGTTGCGTCGCTCATAGAAGCGACGCAAATACACTATAAATGAGCGACGCAAATAAGACTTTTTCTTCTAGTGGTAATTTGATTAAAACCTTAAACTCAACTGAACCCATTGAAACTGATTAATATTAATTAGAAGTGTTAAACCCCGACCTAGAAATCAGTTATACACTTATGAACAAACTCTTTTTCCGACCTTCTTTGTTTAACTTAAATTGCTATCAACTTGGCTTGATCTTTATTACAAAAACTAACACTCCATATGCAATTGAACACTAAAGCCCCAAAATTGTCAAACTCGAGCGCAAAAAACCCAGAAAATAAACCCTAAAATTAATTGAAAAAATGAGGGAGATTGTGAAGTTACCTTTACCACAACAATGAAAGATTAGTAGCGAAGATGACGAAGTCACGAATTTATGATAATTAGCTTGAAAAGAATTTATGAAATTCCATTGGCATTATATGAATTGGGTGTATGATTTAACTGAATGTTGAAAGAGAGGGAAGAGACAAAAGAATTAGAATATGAGAAGGTAAGGGCATAATTGGGTTTTGGGGGGGGGGGGTGTGTAAAGTAAGTGAAGGTTGTGTTTAGCAACCGTGAAAAACAAACACAAATGATCTCGTGCAATTCGTGGGCTTACCCGCCACGCAATCACATTCCGAGGTCAGACTTCCCCTCTTTTTCCTCTCTTTCATTCTCTTCTGAATTTTCAACTTCCAGATTTTTTTAATTTTTAATAAAACCCTTGATTCTCTCCCAATTTTCCTCCTCAATTTTCTCTCTCCTCCATTGTTGATCACAAATCCACCTTCATTTTCCGATGATTTTAGGGCTTATACCATCATCCAATTGATGCAACCCTAGCTCATAATTCAGTAACAATTTGGGGAAAAATTGATTGAATTTTCTGTAAAATGGATCCTGAACAAACGTTTATTAGGGTTCAGGAGAGGTTTTCGCAGATGATTACGCTTAGAATTCGAACTGCTCTTGAGTACTTTTATCTCTTCTCTGCTATTACTTTGTTCGCTATCCTTGTTGTTATGCACGCTAATTTTGTTCAGCAGGTTAGCAAATTCCTTCATCTTTAAGCTCAATTTTTCATAATTTGATTAAATTTGAACTACATGAACTGTTTGTTGAATTTATGTAATCGGTTAAGTAGGAATTCTGTAGTAGTGTTCTGAGTTTCTGATTCTTTGATTGTTTCTGGAATTTCTGGAAAAATTGAATTCAGTTTAAGTTAGTGCATGGTTAAATGATACGATTAAGTTTATCTTTGCATTTGTTTTAATAAAATGAATGGATTGAATTCAATTCACTTTGTATTGGAATGGTATACTTTATCTGTCCGGACCGGCGGACCGTGCCTAGATAATATGCCACATTTGATCGGAGTTCTTTCTCAGAATTAAGTGAGTGACTACACTATGACTGTTCTTCGCTGTTGAACTCGAATTGTAGCTTACTAAAGCTAGAAAGTGGCCTATTATTTCGAGGCTTTTCAAATAAAATTTGGTTGATCATTTTCGGAGAGGGAGTAATTGTGAGATAGACAGGTTCTTGAGGCACCTGTTGTGCGGGAGTAGCTTATACATATAGAATTAGGAAAAGATGATACTATTGTATGTCTTTTGTGATTTGATCAAGAAAATGGCCGAACCTGTATGTGCTGGATCAAAGTCCTGCTTTGGTGCTTTAAGTTGTTCAGTATGATGGGAGTACAACCTCATTGCCGATATTGAATCAAGATCTACTGGTATCCTTGGTTTTGTATGTCTTTGACTTTTGATTTTAAAATTATGCAGCCGGGCTGTTCCAGTGAACTCTCTGGAGTGCAAACAACAGAAGCACAGCTTATTTTCGTCAAGGTGATAAATATTGGTATTTTATGCTGTACAAATTAACTAAAAAAACCATCTACTTTTGCTTTGAATGTAGGCAGTTTTTCCTTTTTGCTTATGCCCTTGTGATGTATGCTCAAACTGGTGATGCAGATTACTGGAATTGGCCTGCTAATTCAAAAAGATTCTGAACCGAATTTTGAAGATATATCTCCTGGAAGAATTCTTATTGATGAACCTAGACCTAGAGAGCCAGATGCCCATGACGACGAGTTTAACTTGTTTGCCGTGAACTACTGGTTTGGTTGGATTACTTCTGGTGCTAGGAGGGGAAAATTGAACTTCAAGTTTTGGAAAAATTATTATGAATACTCTGAAACACAGCCAGAAACTATCGTTGATGGGAGGGGCTCAAAGTTAGCTGCCAATGATGGTAGAGTTGAAAGAGAGGAGCCATCTGAGACCTTTTCCATGTTTTCAAAACAATCTGCAAGAGCAGTCATCTTACACTTTTTCAGAAAGTGGCACAGACGTCTAACATTTATCTGGAAACATGGGACACGTTTGTTGGGAACTCTTTGGGTATGTGTTTTGTTGATTCTGCTGGTGCAATATATTGCTTCTTTAAATGTTTGTGCGTCTACCTGGAGTTTTATTTCAGTTGGTTCCTGTGAATCTTTAATTTCTAGTAACATTAGCATATGACCTTTGCTATCTGTGGCCTAAAAGCTCCATATGATTTTAATGGAATTTTGTGAGTTGTGACATACTTCATATGTCTTTTGATGAAATCTTGTTTGATAATCTGAAGAGCTGAAAATAAGGTCAAAATCTCATGCTATATGCTTTGATTATATATTTGTATGAACATCTTAATGAAAACTTCATGCACCTTTGCCATTCTAATTCATGATCGAGGGCTTCAAAAATATTTTTTAATTTTTATATAATTGGAGCTGGAAACTTTCTACAAGTTTTTGATGATTTCATAAATCTAGCTTTTTTTCAGTGAGCAATTGCTAAATGTATTAATATACCTATTGCTTGATTGCAATATTTCCTTGTTATTTAATACTATTAGACTCCTAAGTTTGCATTCCATTGTCATATGTATAATTTTATAGCTCAATATTTCTAGTTCTATACATACAAATATACAATTATTCTGATGGAAGATTGAATAATTTGTAACTAAGTGGTGAGAGAAGTTAGAAAGATATGTGAAAAATATAATGCAGACAGCTTATTATGTACATATCATGTATTTTGATAATTAAAAAAAATAAAAAAAATCAATCAAATAAATTAAACCATAATTTATAATTTCCTATAGTCATATATTCATATTTCGTTCAGTGCTATGGCACATATATGGTTGATGGTCTTTTCTATAAATAGGCCAACTCTTCCTGAAATTATGCATTTCAGTTTCCTTTAAATGTTTGTGTCTTTGTTCTTTTTGAGTTTAAACATTTTTTTTATGTTGCTGAATTGGATTTCAAGTACAGAACGTTGCAGGTATTCGCCTGAATCTTGACATTCCTAAGTGGCTGCGTATTTTGCACTTGGATAGGCTCAATTTGTTTGCAGGTAGATTGATTTTTACTTCAGCTGCTAGCCTGATATTGCCAACTCAATTTGCTTGCAGAGTCTTTTTCAGTCATTTGAATTAAAAACATTCGTTATATAACTGGAAGTTTCAAGCGGAGGTGATGTGAAGCTTTAGAGAACTATTTTTTCCTTTTCTTATGTATAACCCACCTATAGTGTGTCTCCAATATAGTATTTCAAGGTTGAAAACAATAAGATCATTCCCTCAAATGCATAGCATATTTCACGCATAGAGGACTCCTGACTGGTGTTGGTCCACAATCCCCTTTCAGAAATAAGCACTTGTATAAGATTATAGACATATTTCAAGAAGGGAGTCTTTTTATGTTTTTATTACTTATATTAGGAGCTACATAACATTATCCTAGGTAAGTAGGTTTAAAATGCTGAACGCTATCAATTGAAAGTGAATGCCTTTAGGGGTTGAGTATTTATGAGAGTTGAAGTAATATCTTTTATATGGTTTGGCTTCTTAAAGATGAAGTAGAATGAGTAAAATGTTTGTAAAAACATAATTGTTGTATTAGCCACTTCAATTTAACTCAGTGAAAGCCATCTTAAAGAACGCATCATTAGTGTTGATTACTTATTGATTGGAAACAAATTGTAGAATGTTTAGTTTTATGTTGAAAATGTACTATAGGAATTAATTTTCTTGTCAAATCAATGCTCTATTTCAAATTGCTCATTACTTTCCTCACAATATTTATCTGTAGAAGTTATTACTCCACGTGGTTTATGGAAGTATATAAGGATAATATCATTTTATATTTTAAGTATAAATGTTGCAACATCATTATTAAACATACTTTTTTGTAATCTATATAGTTCTTGAGCAATTAGCTGCCAAAGTTAGACTTCAAAAGGCGAAAATGACGCATGAAATGGTGGGTGTATCATCTTTTACATGTATTTGTCATGTCTTGCTGGTCAATTTCCCTTACAGTAGCATTCTATGGAATCTTAGGGGCATGTCTAAGCTCTTAACATATTGACATGTCTCTTATAAAGAAGATAATTCCTGTTTTTTAAAATTCTAAGTTACTCTAACCTTCTCAGTGCAGTGGCTTGAGAGGAAAATCAAAGCATTTGAACCGTCATATCTCTATACTATGGAAAAGGTGAGTTCAGTTTCGTTTTTCTTATGCACTCTACGTTGTATTATAAATTTAGAACAAATCAGGTAATTTCTTGCTTAGTTGCTAATCTTTGTTATCTGTCGTCTATCTTTAGGGGTATTTCTTGCTTCCTGAAGAAGCTAAATCTCGTCATAACATTCGGACTGCTAACATAAGCATATCTGCTCGGCATCCCTGCTTTGGTAACAGGTGATTATTATTCTATCTTTTTCATAGCTTCTTTATTCTCCTTACTCTTGTTCTGTTTTATTAATTTTTTATTTGCTTCTATTCCCAAGTTCTCTCCCCCATTGAGTGCTGATGCGTATGTACCCGTACTCAATTGACATTATGAGCAACATTGGATTTATTGTATTAAAATTATTATTACTTTATAATGTACCTATATTCTGTATCATGTGACTAAACTGCTAATATGCTATGACTTTGAATATTATTGGACTGTGGGCTTCAAAACCAGGGTGATAACAGTTTGTTTTACCTCCTTTTTTTTTTCCTCCATCTCCTTACCCCCCCCCTTCCTTTTTCCTTGATTTGTTGCTCCAATCTATTGCTATATTGTGCTCACCTGGCTTTACATAATCCTACATTTTCAGGTGGCAACAACTTCTCATAAATAGAGTGGTGGGGTATGACACTATTCTGATGAACAGTTTGCTAGATGCTCCTGGACAAGGTAGAACTCAATATACACTACCGATGTTATGTAATTGTTCAGATTTCAATACCAATGCAATAAGTAATTCCTCCTTAATACCTGCGCACAATTTTAAAGGACTATTATTTGGGCATAGAGCTCATGTTTTAGCTGTGAATATCTTGAGGCAGCTTCTCCAGTCTTCACTAGTATCAAGTTGTAAACTTGTAACAGTAAAGTCATCTACATCTGGATCTTGCTAATGATGGAATCTTGCTAGGTTGTTTTCAGGGTGTGGCATATGTAGGTATAAATTATTTTCACATCTATGCCAATCAATAACTAATTAATACTCACCCTAAATGGTATGGGGTATGAGCAATGATTTGAATGGTGCTCGTATTATGAACTGTCACATTACTTTTCTCACAGTTTGTAGTGTTTTTAGCAGAAGTCTTTACATGATAAATTCTCTGCAGGATACCTATATAACTATCAGACAAAGGAGTTTTATAACCTCAGTTATGCCCATGAGCCGTCAAAAAGCTCTGCTACTTTTGGAGGTTTGTCTTCTGTGATAATCAAAGTCTAGTCTTGATATATTTACTCCTAATCCTAGAGAACTCCTAAAAGCTTGGTTACATTAATTATGTTGATCCTAATATATATTTTTTTATTGTAATTTTTATTGTTCTTCTGAATATCTGTTGGTTCATATGCCTTGTTTTGTTTCTTTGCAGATTATCTGGTGACTAAGTGTGGGGTGCTTATGATGTCACTCTTTGTTTTCTTCACGACGACCATGTCAGTTTCATTTACATTGAGAGAGACACAAACTCGCATGCTCAAATTTACAGGTTGGTTTGCTTTCAACTTTATATACATTTTGCAAGATGTGTACATCAACTACTGGCATATGGCTCATTGTTGATTCTGGAGGCTTGTTGATCTTGAGATCTATTTCTTTTAAAAGCCATGTTACCTGTTAATGAACTACTTTTGTCATACTTGTGTCTATACCATAGTAAAAAAAAAAATTGCGGATGCGGTCGTGATCGTGGTAATGGTTGCGTTATCGCGGGAACGGCTTGTCACGGACGAATAAAACAGGTCGCGGAAAACGCGGTGTGAATTATTTGTAAAAAGTCACATTAATGGATTTAAGTGGTGTTTATAGTCTTTAAGTTAAAAAAAAGTAGTCTTTGAACATAAAATAACCATATTTATCATATTAAAAGCAGGTAACATATTTGGTGATAAAAAATTACCTATGTTACATGGACTCGGATGAAGTGTCAAATTAGACATGGGTGTCCAAGTATCGGACTCGCCCATTTTCTTGAAAAAAGTTTTGTTTTTAGTTAAAAATGAAGTGTCCAAGTGTCGGTGTCCGACACGAGTCGTGTCGACACGGACACGTGAGGTAAATGAAAGAGTCCGAGTAACGTAAATTACTAAATATCATCAAATACTAAAATATTAAATGGATGTGGGTTAATAAACATTCTATCGCGGCGAGTCACCGTTACAGAACGGATGATGCGGGGAGAGGGTGGGGGTCTGGATGGGATGGGATGGGATTTGGTCTTCAAGACTTGAATGGGAGCTGTAGAATGTAGTAAAAATTAATGGTTGCCAGTTTAAGCAGGTGACAATGGCTTCACCATGGTTATGATGCTCGAGATATGAAGCAAAGATAACCTTTAACAATGTAAAACTGCAGCAAGCAACAAGGTCTGGAGTCTGGACATTGATGATGTAAAGACAATCAAATTGCCTTTTGGTTATTGGTGCTTGATAGCGAGAAAGAGTGAGAAGAAAACTAACAAAGGAGGAAAAAAGGGTTGAGCGGTTAGATGCTTAGATGTGTGATTCTGTCCGGCTCCTTCACCAGTGTCCAGATATTATATTGAGTCTAGTTGAAGATTGACTAGAAATTTTGAGGCTAGATTGACTAGAAATTTTATAACTCTGGTTTCAGAAATGCCACTGCTGTACTTTTGGCTCTCTTTCCTCTTTGATATAATATTTAAGGCCCTATGGCATGGCTGACAGGTAACAATCACGTAACATTTTTTCTCCAATATGAATGCAGTGCAGCTTCAACACCATGCGCGTCATCGACTTCCAACATTCCAGCTGATATTTGTTCATGTCATTGAATCGCTTGTCTTTGTGCCTGTAAGGATTCTGCATTTTATAATGTACTCAGAATTTTCAATCCTTGAATATGTTTATTTCTATTTGCTGCTGATGGATTTCATTCAACATTACAGATCATGATAGGCATCCTATTTTTTCTGTTTGAATTTTATGATGACCAATTACTGGCTTTCATGGTGTTGATATTGGTATGGCTGTGCGAGCTTTTTACCCTTATTAGGTAAGTCTAATGCTGTTTGCTTCTCCCTTCTTCCCTCTTAGAAAATTTTCAGGAATTCATGTGCTCTATCGCGCGTTTTTTTCTTTACTTTATTATACTCTTTAACCATCTGAACTTTTTTTTGGCTTTTGTAGTGTTCGTACGCCAATATCAATGAAGTTCTTTCCACGCTTTTTCTTACTCTATTTCTTGGTGTTCCACATTTACTTCTTCTCGTATGCATATGGTATGATGACCTGTATATTCCAATTAATTTTTCCCATTTCACCTATTTCTAGTTTTATTTAATGCACTCTTGTTTCTAGCAGGTTTTTCGTACTTGGCCTTATCTACTACTGCAGCATTTATGATGCACCTTATCCTGTATTTCTGGAACAGATTTGAGGTAAAAAAATTTATGATGCCTTCGGAGCCTAGAGCTAATATGTGAACATGATGGCATAATAATTTTTGAAACCATAATTTACTGTTCTTTGTCATAGTTATGTGCTTGTCTCTCTTAAGTTCTCTAACTGATCCCTAAAAAAATTAACATTTACTCTATGCACAGAAAAAAGAGTGACAAAAAGTAAAGTGAAAAGTAATATGTGGCTGTATTCATGCAGACTTTTAACAAATTTGTAGATATTTGTGTTGTACCAACTGTGTATTCATGCAGTAATATGGCTGTATGAGTCTATGGACACTGAAATTAAATGTAGCCCATGGTGTATAGGTTTAATTTCAATCTGCTATGCTTATGTGCCTTGTAATTTCTAGTTTCTTGCAGTTTGTAGCTGCTCCTTCCATACTTGGATTAGTTATGTATTTTTCTTTTTTTAAATTCAGGTCCCTGCTTTACAACGGTTTTTGCAAAGTCGTCGTTCACACATGCAGCAGCACCCAGATTTCCACATAACCTCCTCGACTATACTTGCCTCTACACTGCACATCACCCGGTTGAATACAAGAAACCCTGGCCCAGCCAATACGGAGGATGCTTCAGGTCCTGGGGTCTCAGTGCTTAGGCCTGGTGGTAATGTTCCAATGCCACACCATGCGCAGGCTGCAGTTCCCGGGCTTCAAGAACAATTGGGAAATGCAATTCAGCAAAATGAAAATATAGGGGAAGAACCTCTTCCAATCCCTGAACATGAACTTCGGCAACCAGAAGCTGGTCAAAACCCGGGAAATATGAATTCCTTTAGCTCTTTGTTGCTATGGATTCTTGGAGGAGCACCTTCTGAAAGCCTCAACTCCTTTTTTTCCATGTTTAGAGATATGAGGGATCAAACCCAATTTTATACAGATTCTTCTAGACCAGAAAGTGATAATGCCGAAAATCCTCAATAGTGGTGAAGCAGAAGCAGGTGAAGGTAAAATTGGCAATTGGTGAATACTGTCATATTTTGAGCTATATCAAGATATCGATCATGTTTACAGAAGCAGAAAAGCTTCCACGGATGTCGGTTTCAAATGTAAATGAGTAGAAAATGAAAGGGAATAGGCAAGAAGAAGCTATGTTTCATGTACGCTGAGATCGTGGTAAATTTGTCTTAGTGAGGAAATTTTGCCATGAGCAGAGGGGTTTTGTAAGAAATAGTTCCTCTCTGGTCTCAGGATCTTTCTGTAACTATTGCTGTAAAAAGACGGTTTCTATTGTGATGCAATATTATAAATATAAGTCATTATAGATTAATATCAGAATATGGTCACTTGTTCCTTTCAAAAGAAAAACAATAGTCTGATGGCAAATTAAAGTTCACATTTTTGGATTTTTTTTTCAGACTGAATTCCATAACCTGTGTTTCCAATTATTATCCGTCAAATTTCCCCTACATTTTCATGTTTCCCCCAATTTTCTCCACATTTCACATACTTGTATGATATACTTATTTTTGTAAAGAAAACAAGCTGAGAATCAATACTTTTCAATCCCCTGTTAAATTAGTTAGCATTAATTCCCACTTTCTGAAGATGTAATATTTAGAGCTCAAGGATTTTGAAAAAGAGCACCTGAGAATCAAATTCCATGATAATCCGGAAAATTTAACAATGTATTAGACTAATAACACTCACTCGTACATCAACCCGAATAATTTCAAAATAATTGATAGTATGAAGGGAAAAAAAAACTAGAAAAGTCGATATCTTGCACATATACTCCCCTTATCACTCAAATAACAATTATTTTGAACTATCTTATTCATACACAAAACATTTAGACAGTATAATACTTTGTACTATAATAGCATAATAATTCAAGAGAGTGTCAAGGATTCTAGATGGTGATTAAAAGAATGAATTCTAAGCTTAGTTAGAACGTAGAATGATTAAACTCATTACAGATCGAGCTAAGTAGTCTTACTCATTTAATTTATTAGAGGAATCACTAGCATCATGATCATTAAGAGTAGCATTAGTTCCTTTCTTAACAAAAAGGTACTTGTTATTATGCATCCAAATCTTAAGCACTCTCCTCTTAATCCCAACCTCTTGGCAAAATTGTTGCACTAATCCTTCATCCACCCTTTGTATCTTCCAATTTGTCTTTTGAGCAAATCTCAACATTTTCTCTTTTTGTTCATTTGTAAATCTTGTCCTATGCCTCTTTTTACTCATTTTCATCCCTTCTAACATTACTTGTTCCCCATAATTTTCTGGCATGGCCGCGGGCCCCATATTTGGACTATTGTGGGGCCCGTGCCTCGCCGATTTTGATGACATTCTTGTACTTGATTTTTAGTAATATTACAAATATTACACTGGTAGTGGCAATATGGTAAATAAGTATAATTGTTGCCACCCACGTGGGCCACCTCCACTTCCTCCTTACGATGGAAGTTGCGGTGGCAACCGCATGCCGAACACAGAAAAGCGTCGTTGTCACCGGAGGGGAGCATAAACTCTCCACAACCATCAGTGGAGTGGGATCCAAGGGAAGCTGCATGATTCTTAAGGCATTCCTTGTACACTATCATCATCTCTTTGGAATTGCTAGCATTATCATATTTCTTTGTTGTTGGAATAGTGTTGAGTTCATCACCTGCTTGAGTCACTCATAACTTCTTCTCGTATGCTCTTATCACAAGATATATGAATTTAATGTAATGAGGCTAAAGCTGGTTTTGGATATGGATAAATTGAACATAAAAGCTAAAGAAGAAATTGATGAAAGTAATTAATATATGGTTTTGAATTGGGTTTGTATATATATATACTTGGTAAGTTGGTAACCAACAATAAGTACATATCTATACTATATTGTTTTTATGTTGTGTTAGATATAAATAGCTGTTATAGATGACTAGTTTAATATGAGAGTAGGAGACTTCTTTGCTTTGCTTATACTATTAGTTATCATTAGCATGCACTAGGTCTGTAGAGGCGCAAGCATGCGCCACTAAGCCAATCCTATATAGCTTGTTCTTTTTTTTCCACCGTCTTTTCGTGTTTAGTTAGGTCTTTGTTCTCTTTAGTTTTAAAAAAAATATTTAGTAAAACTAAGTTTTAACTTTTAAGTAATTAAAGGTAATGTGTTTAATGAAATGGTATATTGAAGTCTACAAAAGGTTTGTAAAAGTACATTTCAGTGAAAAATTATACGAAGTACTAGTTTATTGTCGACCTAAATATGGTACATCATTGGACTTCTTACGAGTGTTCCACCTACATATGTTGGGGCCTAAGGTCTAGGGATATATATCATTCCACCATTAAGCATTCAAAATCACAAATTATAGTTCTGCTTATCATCTGAATAACATTTTATTGTATCTTACAATTACTTATACTACATATTATGTGATCGAGATAGCTAATCTTTAATACATGTTGCCATTGTAGTTTAATTTCCAATCAACAAGAAAGATAGACACAATATTGGTACAATATGTCATATTATAGCTTAGTGAGTTTCTAGTTTTCTACCACCGACCTGAAAGTCGTTTTCCCTTAACAATGCAAGGACTCATAAGTGAACGTGTCTTACATATGATTGCTCATAAACTGTTGTTATTGACAGTAAAGCTAGATGAACTTTCTAACAGAAACTAATAGTGCAAGTGACTAGTTCCTTTCATAGGGTCAACTAATTTTCATAGTAAATTAGTGTGCGACAATTTCATCTAATAATTGTTAGCTCGTATTATGTAGTTCATGTTATGTGATTATAGTGTAATTATTTAGGTTCTCTTATAATGCATGATTGGTGATTTGGTGCCACACATATAGAGTATATTTCGATGTAATTAACAATATTACAAGAGACTTACAAAGGTAATGTTACTAACACATGTATAACATAAAATGCTAAGTGTAATATGACCCCTACCCAGAAATTTAATTAACATAAGTCAAAACAAAATTTAAGAGTTTTTGTGTCCAAACTTGTGATTATTTGGACTATTATTTCTAGAGCTATTGTGTCATGCAATAATGATGTAGATATACATACATTGTCTCGTTCTAGTGTATTGATTAGGGAACTAAATAATGCATGATTCGTTTAATTGAGATGAAACATATAAAACTCAGAAACATAATTAATCAAACTATGCATAATTAAGATTAGATTACTACTAAGATGTTGCTTAAAAGGCATGAAAAGACAAAAGTATGCTTTAATTTGAGGTTGCTCTGCTCTTCTTTAAACTCTAAATGGTGCAATTAGGTCAAAAAGAGCAACCAAAAGAACAAAAAAGTGCCCTTTTGCTTTGCTTTGCTTATGAGTCTTCTAAGACCTAATTGTTTATGAATTCTATATAATATGTAGTTGAATTGAATGCTCTCAATTAATTATATTTCAAAGACAAGAATAGTGTTTAGTTAACCTTTTATTGTTCAAGAATCAAGACTCTCATGAGAAAGATTGAAAGTTTATAAAACAATAATAAATTTATAGGATAATCAACCATAATAAAAATTATCACTTGTTGGAAAAACTTTTCCCTGATTGTGACTCACCCGAATTCGAATTAGTCGAAATCTAGTAGGTTTCGGATTTCTAACTATCTTGCATAAAATAACAAATATAAAGGATAATCAACCATTGCATAGTTAATGGCATCCGCATTGCACAATATATGTCATTAACTATGACATAGTCATGTATACTTTGTATGTAGTAAGGGAATAAAGCAATAATATAAACGATAAAATATAAGCCTTAATTATAATTCAAGACTTATTCGAATATAATGTAAAACATAGATTTTTATATTTAGCTAAACAAATTCTCTAAAAGCAAATGAAATATTTATCTTATTATTATTAAAAGAAAGCTTGACTTTGTCACCATCTTCAATTTTTCTATGCTCAACATATTCATTAGGAACATGTAAGCAGCAACGAGAGGTGCCAATTCCACCCTGCAACTGCAGGTTCATTTCAGTAACATAATCTGTCTCTGAATCATGCACTTTTACCTCTGTTGATTTATTCATCTTTATTTCTTCCTTTTGTTCTTCACTCAAATTGTCGTGCATATTCTCCCAAAAATAATATTGTGGAAACGAAAAAATCTTTTTTGACCGCTTGTATGTCGCTTCACACGACATTATAAATTTATTGAGAGGTCCAAAACCTTAAGCTGATAGTTAGAGGCTTATGATTGATTAATACTTTTGAATTGCCTATGGGTTAATTATAAAGTACGGATTATTTATATGAGAACGGAGAACATCCAATTACGTAATAATAAGAAAGTATTTAGTATTTACTATATAAAAGTTATCAGCGGGTGATCAAATCAAATCAAATCATTTTAATTTTGGTAAAAATATTATCAAAAAGTTTTTTCTTGTATTGCATTTACCATTAATATTATATTTTATTATGAGAAGATTTTTAGTTAGAGTAAACATATATTTTAATTTTCCATTTATTTGGTGAACTAGCTTTTGTAAATAATTAATTTCCATTACATTACTTTATCTGATTTTAAGTAAATTTTGACCATAAATATTTTGCGATTGATGAATTGGAAAATTTTGTTAACAAATTAGTCAAATCGTGAATTGCGTAGTATCACATACTGTATTGTAGACTATATGGTAATAAATCTATGATTCTCATTACAAGAGTATAGTTTGAAATATACTACGTACTCCATAATTATAAAAAGCATAAGTCTATTAATAAAATGGCAATCTCATTAATATACTGTATATTATTAGCTGATCTACCACGAGTAAATCTCTAATTTCCCTTTGTTAAAAATGTTACGGAGTAAAAAGAAAAATCTCTAATATCCCTGAATTTTACAAAGAAATATTATTGTAATCAAAACGAAATCTTCATAATATTCGTTGCCAAGAGCTATATACAGAAAAAATAATCCGTATAAGAGAGATTTATTTGTTAATTTATTTTTCTAGGAAGTGTAAGAGAGATTTTTTTTTTTTCATTTTTGAGGGAGTGTTTACTTAGACTCACTATTTCTAACTCTAATGCCAAGCACCAAGGTGTAAACAGTATCCCAACATCAAAACATTTTACATCACAGCTGATGGCTTGCGCGATAGGAGAAGAAATTTATGCACTTCTGGGTGCTTGAACTGGGAGACGAAAAAAGTGAGAATCCGGAAGTGAAATGACAACCTAGCAAAAGTATATAAGAAAATTTATCCATTGGAGTCTAATACCTGTAACCAAAATGGTACTCCGTATTGAATTGATGACAGTGGAAATACACAACACAAAGCATGAATACAATGAAGAACTTGAGGAAGTTTAAG